CTTTGTTCGCTTTCTTGCCCGAAACGATATGAGGAACTTCCAAACCAGGTTGAGGTTTCCAGCTTCCCTGCACACAATGAAGTAGTCCCGGCTGCCCGATGGAGAGAGAGAGAGAGAGAGGCCCAGCTGCCCCAGAGCACAGGTGCAGAGTGCTTTGGAGATGTTTCAGCAAAGCCTGGTTGGTTCATGTTACTTCTTCATGTGTTTCTTCACAAACAATCAGTACCGAATCCTGGTCGAAGAGAGCAGCACTGGAAGCGACAATCTCGAGGAGGTGTTTGAGAGCAATCTCAAACGTATCGGAAAAATGGTTGCCATTTTGGATACGTGGCATCAACCGGTATATTTGACGCGCATCTGGACGGTCTACGAGCAATGTGTGGCATCCACGATTGAGATCGAGGCCACTGCTTCCAGTGTGTTAGGAAGATCCAAAATCAAAGACATGTATAGACATACTGGTATTCCAACTTGTTTTTCGTTATTTATGATATTCGTTATTTGTTGCATTTTATTTTTACATGGTGCTTATGTATAGTCTCCATTACCTCCCTGTAAAGTAACGCCTGGTTGTGTACGTGTATATACTATGACCATTTTGGCTCAAGAAAAACAGTGTGCGGCGTTGCTGGTTGATTGAGGCTGTTTAACCTCTAGGTATAGGTTATCAGCCGTATCGCCAGATACTTTCCTTTTGTAAGTAAATGTCTGCCCCCTTTGGAAAACCATCTCCAGAGGGCTCACGCGAATCCGGGATCCATCAAGCCATGGCGATTGAGGATGCAGACAATGGCCAAACTGGAAACGATGTACCAAGTCACACAACTTCCCAGACTCCTTCAGAACGCTCCCGCAGTGATAAACGTGAGGTCCGTGTCCCGCTTCCACCAGGCGCCGTTGTGCCCCAAAGTGGAGCTCAGAGGTTTTCACACCGTGGATATGACTTTCACGCATCCCGGGAGGGCATGCCTGCCGGCTCACATCATGTACAATCCAACACTGTCGAGGTACACCACCATGAGATGACTGAGGTGAATAACACCATGAATCTACGACAGGTACAAAACAATGAAGTGTACGTGAATTCACACGACCCTGCAATTACACAGATGGTTGAGCAGGTTGCCGAAGCACGTCATCGAGAGGCCTTAGCCAACACTGAAAACATGGTGCAATCGATGATGTCCGAAATGAGCGGTAGGTTCCATGCAGAAGAACAAGCTGCGAGTGCCCGGATGCAACAGATGATGTTGCTCGCAGAGAGTCGGGAAAATCAATTTCGTGAAGAATTGGCCCAACAAGGGGAAGTATATAAAAGGGTTTTAGACGGAAATGCCAGACAGTCAAATGCAACGAAGGAACAACAAATCCAATCACTCAGGGATCACTATGAACGCCAGGATGAACACCGTAAGATGCAGATGTCCCAACTTGAATCCATCATCAAGCAACAAAGTGAGCAAATAAAGGCCCAACAGTTGCAAACCGAATCCATGAACATGAGGATGAGTAAACTCCTTGACACAATAGGCCCAATGCCGATTCCAATTGTCCAAACCGCCACTGCCGTCATGCCGCCGTCCACTGAGGTCAAGTACTCTGCACCGTTGCCATCATTTGCATCAGCAAGTGCATCCAAACCAGCGGAACCCAACCAAGATATATGGGAAATGCTTGACCCGGAAGGAAATGCACCAGTGGATAATAAGGATCCTGTCTCTGAGATAACCGGTCTTAGGTCCCCAACGTATCCACCAACAAGTGTTGCAGCATCAGATGCCGGTGGCAAGCCACCAGGACCTGACCCTCCAGATGATGACAAGGATTCGCAGGCAGATCGTGACAGCAGGCGTGGTAAGAACAATCGTGGGAAGAAGCCCCCTCCGGGGAGCCGACGCCCACCGGGAGGTGGGCCTGGGGACGGTGATGATGATGATGGAGACGGGGATGGGTACAACTCTGATGATAGTGACCATCGGTTCATCCGTCGCATGAGAGCCATGTTCGGCAGTTCCAGGGATCAGTCACATGAAAAGAACAAGGTCAAAGAAGCCGACACGGTGAAAGTCCCAGCTTTTCCCCATGCGGAGTCATACAGAAATTGGAGGATTCGCACAAGGGAAGCTGTAATGTCAGCCTCAACTGACCCTGATAAAGCATTTGATTGGATAAGTGAGACCTGGAAAGAAGGCCAAACAATTGGAGCCCTCCGTGACGTAGGCAAGTTCACCACACTGGATGCCAAGTTACTGTCCGCGCTCACCAATATTCTCACAGGTGATTTTGCAAGAAAGGTTGACACTTACAAAGAGACCGAAGCAACAAATCATCGTTACGTGAGGGGCCGTCAAGTACTGTTTATGATGCATGAACATTTCAGTACAAACATCAAGCATGGGGCGACCTACTCACTGCAGGATTTGTTCAGTGTCAAACTTAAGGGTGACAACCTACGCGGATTTATCAGCAATTGGGATCAAGTGATGGCTGGTATTCCCAAGATTCCTGAGATTAGCATTCTGGAGACTCTGTTCTTTAACCAAGTCAAGACCAGTAAAGCAATAGCACACGACTTGCAGGAATATCATCGTGCTGAGGATGGAACCGAAAAGAAATCCTACGATTTCCTAGTGACAGCAGTTCGCCGCTACTTGGATAGGGAGCGACTCGAGTCCAATCGTGAACGAGTTGCCAGGACCCTCGGTGCCTCGTCGTCCAGCGCAGCTCCGGCTGTGGGTGAGAAGACCGGGTACATTCCGAAGGGGTACTGTGTCAAGTGGAATAAAGGGACCTGCACGAATGATGCCTGCCCATTCAAACATGAAAAGCCTCCACCAAAGAAAGACAGAAGTCAATCACGACCCTCATCCGACCGTGGCAGATCGTCGTCAAGGGGTAAGAACGATAAGAGCAAGAAGAAGCAGCCATGCAAGTTTTGGAAACAGGGAAGATGCAATAGAGGCAATGACTGTAGGTTTAGTCACGAGGGTAAGCAAACCAAGTCTCCTCATGCTGCCACTCCTGCCAGGCCTTCGTCTAATGACTCGAAAGGATCCAGACGAAGGAACAGCAGAAGTCCAGGAAAAGGCAGGGACCGCTCGCCAAAGCAGAAGGGATCAAGGAGTCCCAGGAATAGCCGCTCCCCAAAGGGGAGTAGAGGCAAGCCTGACACTCCCAAAGCTTCCCCAGCAGCCGTCTGCCTGATTGCCTCGATGTTAGCATCCGTATCCAATGCATGCCTGATGCCTCCCATTGACGTGATCAGTTGCCCAGCAGTGACATTTGACACCAATCACGATGTGTATCAAGTCATTGCCAAGGGGGACCTTGAGCCTATTAATCCAGCTTCAAGGAGATACAAGAGAACTTTTCCCATTGACTATCCATTTGATTTTGACCGAAGAGACGTAGAGGACGCATGTTTGTCAGCGAACATGTTGGCAGGAGCAGTCAAGAATTCGTTAATGAACAATGTCTGCAAATGTAACTATGAATGTGACACCATGTTTGGTTGTGATCACTGTATTCCAAAGGAAATAGTTGCTATGCCTGCCAAATCTGAGGAATACGTTGATGGATGTTTCGAAGCTTCTATCGATTGGATTGTTGATACCGGTAGTGCCCAAGATTTACTCACTGATCACCATGTACCGGATCATTATGGTTATTTTTCCGACAATCCAATCCGTCTCATCACTGCAAATGGGGAAAGTTCATCTATGAAGCAGGGCAAGGTCAAAGTCCCAGAGCTGAATGCTACAGTGTCACCGTACCTGGTGCAAAGTTCACCTCCTGTTTTATCAGTTGGTCTCAGGTGCGTTGAGGATGGGTTTGACTTCGTGTGGAGGGGCTCCAAGAACGAGAAGCCGAAACTAGTTTCACCTGATGGGAAGGTCATTGAACTTGAAGTCAGAGACTATGTCCCATATCTATGTTCCAAATCAAATCAACCAAGTGTGTCCACAGTGGCAAAATCCAGAAATAATGATTCTCCCATGAAGCGAGTTAAAGTGATGGCTAGTTCATCCGGGTCCGAGTCAGGCTTCATAGAAGAGGAGGATTCTCCCCCGTCACCAGACCTTTACGACGAAGAATATGAAGATGACGAACCTGCAGTCGTAGGTGGTAATTCATCAAAGCTTGACGATGACCTTGTACCCGACATCTCAGGCGATCCCGGTGCTGATGCGCCCTCCGATGAAGAAGGCATTGCACCAGCTGACCGGGAGGTCCAGCCTGATGACGTTGATGATTCAAGGGATGAAGTCCGTCATGACCCAGAAATGGAAAGACGTAGGGAAAGGGGTAAGGCCGCACTCAAGGCTGAAGCTAAGAGCAAACGACACATGCTTACCCATATTCCCAAGAATCCATACTGTGATGTCTGTACAAAGGCCAAGATGTACAAGCCACCCGGTTACTCTAAAGGAGGATCATCCATGGTCGATGCAAAGAAGTTTGGGGATCATGTCACAGGTGACTATCTTATCGCCAAATCTGACCCTGAAACCGGTGTTGATGGAGATAGGGTCGCAATGGTACTTAAGGATGTTGCCACTGATTTTCGATATGTTTACCCCGTTGCACGCCGTGACACTTCCAACACCACACTGGCAATGAAACATTTCGTAGATGACTTGGAGAAAATTGGAATCTTTTACAGTGATAATGCCCCAGAAATTGTAGCAGCTATGAGAGCTATGAAGATCAGGCATCAAATCAGTAAAGATTACATTTCAACATCCAATGCCATTGCCGAACGAGCCGTGCGGTCCACATTGGAAGGAACGCGTGCCAATTTACTTCAAGCAGGACTTCACCATGGATACTGGCCTTACGCTGCCAGACATTGGTGCATCATGCATGACACTGCACCAGATGGGACTGGAAGGGACACACCATGGAAACTGAGGTTTGGGACAGACTTCGAAGGACCACTTATCCCGTTTGGATGTAAGGTGGACTATTGGACTGGACCTAGGAAGAAGCCAAAGAAACAGATGAAGTTCGAACCGACCACTGAACCTGGTATCTTCCTAGGATATGTCATCCACCCCGGCTTCCATTGGAGAAAAGAATTTGCAGTAGCTTCTCTAAAACAAATCAATGATGCAGATTTTGACCAATCCGTCACAGTATTGAGGGTGTTAAAAATCTCAGTACCTGAGAAGATTGAGTTTCCCTGTCGCAAACGTGCCGATGCCATCCGAGACGGTAGCTTGAAACCAAACCAGCTGTGTGATGAGCAGGATGCATTACCGCCACCGGAAGAGCAAGATGCTCAGCCTGTGCGGGAGCCAGGCCCAGTCAAGAGATCAATCACTGACATTGAAGCTGGACAGCCTGTACAACAATCCAGTGCATCCGCCGTTTATCACCAGGGATGGTTGGAATTTTTCAAGCACGTTGACCACAAGGAAGCATGGTATGAATACGCCAATTGCAAGGTGAATGTTTGGATCATCGACAATCAGTGTATAGGTCCATCTCCTGACTTTGATGCAGCCAATTTTCCATTTCGAACAACCTGCATTAAAGATGATGAATCATGGCATGTCCACGAAGAAAACTTGAAGATTGATCCTCCGGTCGAAGACCTTGAAAAGGAAATTGAGGTTCATGAAGTAATAGTCACGATATTCTCAAAAGAGCCGATCGACCTGAGGAACCGTGTGGACGAGCCCATCAGAGGAGCTGTGCCTGAAGCCGAAGTCGAGGTAATCAATCCGATCACAGGGGAACTCGAAAGAATCAAGACTAATGACCCCTCATTCTATGACGCAGGTGGATTTAAAGCAAGAAAGTACAAGAATTCAAGCAAACCAAAGGACATCCCTCCATTTGTTTGGCAAGCAATGTCTCAAAAAGAAAGAAGAGCATCGATTGCAGATGAGCAACGGAAATTAGCCCTGGAAGAAAAGGAAAAGAAACGCGCCAGAAGAGTGAAAGCTGTACCCATGATCGGAACTCTCAAGGAATCACCAAATGAATTGGATGAAAGTTTATCCTACGAATTCATCCCAGCTATGCCTGTTTGCCAGATGAACCCTCAAAAACATCGAGTTAAGTGTATTAGGCTTGGAATCCAATCTGGGGAGAAAGCCGTTAACACTTTGGTGGCTAGGCCAGTGGGGAAAAAGGAAATTAGAGCCAATCCCAAAGCCCAGCAAGCCTTAGATGTAGAATGGGACAAACTGGTAAAGAAGAAGGCCTGGCAATATGAAACAGTGGCCGAATGGAAGGTCATTGCCGACAAAGCCAAGAAGACTGGGAAGAAGGTCCATGTAGGAAAGGTCTTTGAGATTTGCGTTGAAAAGGGAAGTGAACTACCCGAAGGAGATAAACTCCGAAAATTCAAAGGAAGAACAGTATTTCAAGGCAACAATGTAAAGGACGAAAGTGCCGATGTTGCCCTGTTCTCGGAATTAGGGTCTTCGCCTGCCACCATGGAAGCTGGCAAAGCAGTAGATGCCTACGGAGCTCAACCGGGATTCACAACCCAACAAAATGACGGAGTACAAGCTTACACTCAAGCCTTATGGAAGGGCGTGGAGACGTGGGTGGAATTGCCACCCGATCGATGGCCCAAAGAGTGGCATGGTAAGTTCATTAGACCAGTAGTATTGCTTCGCATCGCTCTTTACGGTCACCCCGACTCGGGGGGACTCTGGGAACAATACTGTGAAGCCATGTTGAAACTAGTGGGCTTTATCATGCCAGACCCGGAAGGGTGGCCTTCGGTATTTTTCCATCCAGAGCTCAAATTGTTGCTTGTCGTGTATGTTGACGATTTTAAGATGTCCGGTCCCAAAGAAAACATGTCAAAGGGATGGAGTTTGATTGCATCAAAGATTGACATGGACACTCCCGGGGAAGTCAATAGATATCTTGGATGCGACCATGTAGCTCAACACAATGTAAAGCTCAAGGTCGAGGATCACCCTTATGCCCATGTCTTTGACAAGTCACTGGCCAATCCGGCCGCGCCTGCCGCCGCCGCGTGCCACAGGACTCAGGATTTCTGGGAGCTCGACACCGTCAACGATGTCTACATGAGACACCATGTGCAGCCAAGGAAGAAACTATTTTTGCCCGATGAAGAAGTGGTTAAGTCATGCCAACTTGCCCCATTTAGGTTCACGAATGCAATCCCATGTAACAACAATGGAAGTGAAGTTGAACAATGGGATACTATTGGAATTGGATCCAACGTGAACAAAGGGGGTAGTCTCAATGATTCATGGGTTGGCACAACATACTTCTTCCCAACATCATGCAAAGATCCAAAGGCTGCCATGGCCACCATCAAGAGGGACAAGTCCGGAGCCAAAAAGAAAGCTAGAGCGGAAGGTTTTTCCTATATGGACCAACTGTATGAGAACCAACCCTGCATGCAAAAGCCTGTGACTACATTCACATATGATATGGAGCCTTTCCTCAAATCATGTGTTGAACGTTACATTTCACTTGCTGGCAGGGATGCCAAGCCTTTGAAACAAGTTTCCACACCATTTCATGAAGAAAGAATTGCACGGCCCATTGCCGATGAGAAGGAAACCAAAGGCGTATTGGCTCCAATAGCCGCAAGGGTCCTTATGAAAGTGCTATTTGCAGCCAGGATGGCACGATTCGACTTGCTGCGCGCCGTCCAAGGCCTAGCAGCTCGTGTGACAAAATGGAGTGCAGAATGCGATAAGGCACTGCACAGACTTATTTGTTACATTAATTCCACCCTGGATCACAAGCAAAGGGCTTTCATAGGGGACAAGGTCAGTGAATGTAGGCTTTGGCTGTTTGCTGACGCAGACCATGCAGGGGAGTACGACAATCGATCCACCAGTGGTTGTTTGTTAGTTCTAGTTGGACCCAACACTTACTTCCCGCTCACAGCATTCAGTAAGAAACAAACTGCCGTTGCAATGTCAAGCACCGAAAGTGAAGTTGTCAGTGCAAACGTATCCCTCAGAGCTGTCGGTCTACCTTCCTCCGGTTTGTGGGCATACCTCCAGAACGCGGGGGGGGAGAGAGCACCAAAAGACAGCATACCGGGAGGTTTGCCAAGGCATGACATTGAAACCCAAAAAGAATCCAATGGGGAATACTGGCAATTCATGAGAAGTAGAAGATTGCTCGTCCGAGTCCACACAAAACCAAGGTCACATTTGTTCACACCCGTTGACATGTCCAAGTCACCCATTAACCTTAAGCGTATCGGATGTGCTCGAACCACCGTGATGCTAAAGGATGGAATGGTTGACTTCATGCAGGACAATTGGAAGGTCAAAGTTGACTACCCGATCAACGGGGAGTGGATCGGCAAGACTTTCTTCAGGGTCTATGGTCCCTACGAGTCCGACTACAACATCGAATCGGTCGAAATCCGTGAAGCCATCACCGACTACGAGTTCGTAGGACGTGAGAAAGAGGGAGAATGTATGATCTCAATGTTTTCCCCACGGTCAATAAAAGGTGTTTTTGTAGAGGACAATCAGGCCACCATTAGAATCCTTGAGAACGGAAAATCACCCACTTTCCGACATACAGACAAAACACAGCGAGTTAACCTATCTTGGCTGGAGGAACAGTTCAAAAGAAGGTGGTATAAGCTAGTCCATGGTCCAAGCATGCTCCAAGCTGCAGACATTCTCACGAAACCATTTGTTAATGCAGAGAAATGGAAACTAGCTGTCAAACTTCTTGCATTGACCCCCACCAAGAAGGTTTCCCCACAGAAAGCTTTGGCGTCGGCATCGGAGGCCATCACACCTCCAATTATCGCTGCACCAAGCACGGGGGGACCCGCTGCCAAGTCTGATACCAAGAGACTGATCGTTGAAGTTTGCTGTCATCCCGAGTCCAAACTCAGCCAAACCAACCGAAAATGGTCCGAAGGTTGTGAAGTACTACAGTTCACTGAAGAATTTGATCTTAACGAAGTCGAAAACCAAATGAGGATTGCAGAGTATGTCAACTCTTTCAAAGGCGACGTGAAACCATTTATTTGGATCAGCCTGCCGTGCACGGGGGGTACACCATGGACATATATCAACATGAAAAACCCCAGTGCACGCGAAAAGGTTTTGAAACATGTCAGAGAGTTTGACCGACTTTGGATCTCCTTGAAATCGTTTCTTCGGATGTTGAACTGTGAAGTACACATTGCACTTGAGTGGCCACGAAAATGTCGGTATTGGAAGTTGACTAAAGTTGCAAAGCTTTTGAACTTTTACGGGATGATTGCATACCACTTTGACGGATGTGCTCTTGGAATGGTAAATACAATGATCCTTTGAAGAAGCCTTGGACAGTGGCCACAAACCATGCTGGAGTCGGTAAAGCATTATCGAAGTTCCAATGCACATGCAACAGGCGTCATGCTCCAGGTAGAGGTATTGCACTCAAGAAAACGGAGGAGTACACTTTCCGCATGACAGACGCCATACATAAAGCTCTTACCCGACAGCATCCCGCTCTCAAGCTAACTTGCTGTGCACTCATCGCGCCCTTTTGTTCTCCCGTCTTCGTCATGTTGACTCGTGCAATCCAAATGGCCAAGGCCTGTGCGGTTGCCGGGAGGCCCGCCATCCTCGAGCGCATCACCCAATGGGAAGCTGTGGTCAATACCCTGAAGGCAGCCATTGCGGTGGCGACCTGGGACGACCCACAGGTGCTCTTGCGAGAGATGGAAGGATGCCGCCTACCCCTGGCGAATATCGTCGAGCCGATGCTGGGTGGTGGCAATGCTGAAGGGGCATACGACACGCTCGCGGAGGTCTACAAGAACACGCCCGATGGGTTTTTGGCCATGTGCCCCTACCCGCCGGGAGGCGAGGTCGACCTGCTGATCGTATCAGACTCATCTCTTGCTCTGGTACCGGACCCCCAAGCAGGCAAGGCTTCGTGTTTTTCCGGAGGCGATCTTTTGAAGCCCTGGGGAGACATCCGTGGCATTTACACGAAAATGTTGTGGGGCAAAGGTTTGAACCATATGGTGCAGTATATCCCCGAGGCCATCGATGACATCGAGTCCACCAATCGTGCACATGGTCGCCCGGTCTTGCCGGTGTTGGTCATCGTGGGGTGGGCCGGCAATGATGTGTTTGGCGAAGGGGGTTACAGAGGTGTCCATTGGATCCACAGGGCTGCCTACAACAAGTCTGCTGCCGACCGGGAGGTCACGGCCAACTGGTGTGAGCGGCAAAAGGCAAGGGTCGAGCGGTCCGTCAACGAACTGGGCCAGCTCAAACGTGATGAGCCCCGGATCCTGGACATCGTGGTCGTTGGGAACGCTGACGCGGAAATCTTTGCTCTCCCGTCGGCCTACAATGAGACCATGCGTGTCCACATCAGGGCACTGCGAGAGGACCATGGTATTCAAACCCTGGACACCACCTTGATGCTTGCCAGAACTGTGAGATATGACAAGGTGCATTTGGAAGACGACGTCATCAACCGGAAGTATGTCACCAACTTCCTCCAGGCCGTCGCTGATTGCCACCTTGCCTACCTCAAGCTCATCAGCGTCGACGATCACTTGAGAACGCTCCCAAGAATTGACGATCTCCAGGAGCAGAAGAACTACCCGAATCTCACCATCCTCAAGGCCGCGTACCAGCTTGAAATCGATTCGAATGTATCCTCCCCAAAAGATCTTCCTCAGCGACCTGATCCTGAGAAGCTCATGTTGGATGCAGATGTCGAGATTTTCAACTGGGTGCTTCAAGCTGAGGAGAGCGCCACAGCCTCTGCCGACCGGGAGGTCGAGTCCTGGATGCGAGACATTCCTGAAGAGGACCAGGCATTGGAACCCATGCACATTGACAACGCTGATTCGGACGATGAGGCTGTCAAAGTTAAGGCCCTCACCATGGATGATCGAATTTTGGCAAGGCGAAAAGGCCTATCAGAGGAGCACGACCAAGAATGGCAAGATGCCACCTATGCGGCCGAGGATGAAGACGAGGACTTCAAAGGGTGGGACCTCATTGAGGATGACAAACGCCCGCCGGGAGTCGTGGCCAGTGACCCAGTGCATGAAGAGGAAAAGGAGCTGGACCTTGACGACCTCGAGACGGTGGCTTCGGTGGAGATTGTCGATGAAGAGGAGTTCCACGACGCTGAGGAGGGGCAGGCCGAGCCAATCGATGATGATGACGATGACGACATGGCCGTGATCGACAAGGTCTCTGCTATGCAGGCCTCGAAGTCTGATGCACGGGGGGACCCGGAGCCCATGGAGGTTGATGATCAGGGCAACAAGATGGTCCAGAGTACGGCATCAGCGAAGACCTGGAAGACGGAGATGGCCCAGAGCTCGTCATCGGCAAAGACGTGGAAGACTGACATGGCTCAGAGCACCTCATCTGCAAAGACATGGCGAACTGACACCACTGCAGCTGCGTCGGCGGGAGCCACGCCTTCTGACCCGACGTCCAAGCTCAAGCCCAAGAAGAAGGCCATGCCCAAGAGATTGAAGGTTGTGGATGAGGGACATGGGCCAAGTGCTGAACAGTTTGACACGTCGAAATTTGCTTCAGCACAGGATCTGGTTTGGATTGAGCCGGACAACATGGCAGGAGTTCCTGTGCGCAAGGTGGACTACGGGAGGCTTGGATCGATTTCCCATGCTATGTCCGACTACCTCCGTGGCCATCGAATGTTTCACAGGAGGCCATCACCTGAGATTCGGAGGACTGATTTGTCAATGGATTTCAAGGCATTGGTGAGGCATCTCCAAGGGGATTTTGCACACCTTCGAGAAGAAGAAGTTTTGATGGTCGTGCGCAACTCTCCAATGCGTCGCTTCAGAGTCCAGGTGAACGGCTTGTCGTCCGGAAAGCTCAGGTGGACGCCAGTGAGGATCAGGGCCATTCAGGGTCATCGGGCCTTTCTCGTGGAGCAAGGGGGGATGTCAAGCATGATCAAAACGATGTTCACTTTTGACGAGAACTTCGACCAGACCAAGATTGACGACCCATCGGTCCACCCCGCTTTCTCTGCGATGCCGGAAGGCTCGCCTGTGTGGCACAAGTTCCCCAGAGTGGTGTATCACACCTGTGACCAAGCCGCCTTCAATTCCATCATCAAGTACGGCCTGATCCCTGGCGGTTTCCCGTACAAAACGGGCAGAGCCCACAACTTTTTCAACTCCACTCCGCCCTGGAAAGCGGAAATGAAAAAGTTGCAAGGTACGCGGGCCGGGAGGCCGATCGCCATCGCGTTCGACATGGAGCTCATGATGCAAATGGGCTACAAACTTTTCGCGACTGACGAGGCCATCCTGTCGCCAGACTGGATCTCGAACCAGCCGATCATCAACGCCTTTGATATGCGTTCG